TCCTCCTCCTCCTCCTCCTCCTCCTCCTCGTATTTATCCTCCTGCTCTTCTCTTCCTCCTCCTCCTCCTCCTCCTCCTCCTCCTCCTACCCCTCTGCCGGAGTGACCCTTCGCCAGAGTGACCTTTGGTGCTCGGCTTTCGGGGGCGCGGGGGAGCCAAAGCCATGCTTTCAAGCCGCCTCTGTCGCATGGCATGCAGTCAGCGGCAACCCGTGCACCAAAGGTCACCCTTGCTTCGGGTCGCTCTTGTGTACAGCTGATCCTGGATCACTTGCCCCATGGCCGTCGTACCCCACAGCCAGCACCCCCCCCAGTGAGAGGGGTGGGCGTGTGGCGGGGATGCGGGATTCCATCCATTTGCCTGCACCCGCAATCGCGCCGGGGGCTTTGGCCTTCCATCACGAGGTACTCCACTCTACGTGGCGGCCTACGAGGGTCACGACAGCGTCGTGCGAACATTGCTGGAGGGAGGGGCGCACCCGGACAGGCAGGTGGCGGACGGCGCGACGGCTCTCATCGTCGCCGCTCAGGGCGGGCACGATCTCGTGCTCGGCCACCTCGTCAACGCGCGGGTCGAGCTGGACCTGCCCGCGGGCAACGGCGCCACGCCCCTGACTCGGGCCGAACGAAAGGGGGGGATAGGGAAAGGGGGGGGGTACGAAATCTGCTACATGCAGCTGGTTTCGGCCCCGCCGCCGGGCCCGTTCCTCGATACGTGGGCGCATCCCGGCGCCGGGAGGCGCCGGGAAAATCGGCTGCGTGAGCTGATTCTCAACCCCCCCCTTGGCTATCCCCCCCTTGCGCCCGGCCCGCCTGACGATGGCCGCGCAGAACGGCCACGAGGACGTGGTGCGGATGCTGCTGGAGTGCGGCGCGAACAGGGACCAGTGCGACGCCAGGGGCATCACGCCGATGGCCATGGCGCAGGCGGCTGGCCGCCCCGGCCGCCGTCTGCCTGCCGCCGCCTCGCGCCCTCGTGCTCCCGGGTGGTCACGCTGAGCAGACGGGGATCCCGCGGGCACCCAGCGAGGTTCTGGACGCCCGAGATGGGCACGGAAAGAATGGGTACGATGCCCGACAGCAGTTTTTGTTAATTCTGAACAGGATTCGCTGTCCACGCCGCCGCGGCCTGTGTCCACTCGAGACAAAAGGCCGCCTGTCCAACAGCGGCCGCTGTTGGTTTGGGACAACATTTGTTGTTGGGCATTGTACCCATTCTTTCGGTACCCGTTTCGGGTGTCCAAAGAGGTGGGCTGGCCCAGGCCCAGCATCACTCGGTCGATGGGCGAGCGAGGTGCCCTCGGTGCCACTGAGTCAGTGGCGACCCTTCGCGGTCTGACTCCCGCTCCCGGCCCCTCTCCTGCTCCTCCGTCACCCATCGAGCTCAAGCCGTCATCGCGCAAGTGGGCGCTGTACCCGAGACCGACGAGGGTGAGGCAGCCCACGCCACAGGCCTCTCCACAGGCGCCAGCAGTGTTGCGTATCCTCTGAGTGCCCTCCAGCAGGGCTGGGGCATGCACTTCGAAGGGCCAGCTTCCTCTTTGCCACCTCCTATCAATGCGAGCTGTTCCTCGACACAACCACCTACCACGGTTCACACCTCAGCCCTACTTGGCCGAGCAAATGTGCCTTGCGGGCCTCTTGGAGCGGTCTTGGGGGCCTCCTGGAGGCCTCGTCGGCTGTCTTGGGGCCCTTTTGGGGCTCTCTGAGCCTTCTTTGGGCCATCTGAAAGCTTCAGAGGCCCATCGGAGCTGGGGGAACGAACATCAGACCTTCCCCTTTGGCCTCGTGACGATATTTAATGTTGCTGGGGGGAGCTGTCGTGGCCGCCTCGGGGCCTCTCGGAAGTATGTCGGAGGCTATCATGGACCATCTCCCGCTATCTTGCAGGCCATCTTGCAGGCCATTTTGTGGCGTCGGGGGCCATCTTGGAATCATCTTGAGCCCCACACGGCAGTCTGACACCTCCCGGGCTCCCCCCCAGGCCCAGGGGAGAGGGTCTTGAGGAGGGCTCAGGCCACACGCAGGACGCAGGCCGGCTCACTCACTCCCGCCCGTCCTCCCAACGCATACTTAGCACCCGAGCGTCCGCCGGGTGCCAACGCCTGCGCCAGGTCAGAGCCCCGAATCATCAGGGGTAACTCGGGTCAGGGATAACTCGGGTTCGTTTTTCGGGAATCCAAGCCCGAGCTACCCCGAACCCGAGTTACCCCGGATAACTCGGGCGTCCAGAGCTCCACATCATCAGGGGTAACTCGGGTCAGGGCTAATTCGGGTTCCTTTTTCGGGAATCCAAACCCGAGTTACCCCAGACCCGAGTTACCCCGGATAACTCGGGCGCCCAACCAGGTGCGCGACGCTTGCGAGGTGCGCCACGCGTGCCAGGCTCACCAGGTGCGCCAGGCGCCCGAGAGGCCGAGGCGTGCCAGGCGCGCCTGGTTCGCGAGACGCGCCGGGCGCTCCGCGTGGCCGGTTGTGCCACGTGCTCCTCCCTATCCTCCTCCCTATCCTTCTCCTCCTCCTCCTCCTCCTCCTCCTCCTCCTCCTCCTCCTCCTCCTCCTCCTCCTCTTCCCCCTCCTCATCGCCCTCCTCCTCCCTCTCCTCCTCCTCCTCCAGCCGCGCCAGGTGCGCGGCGCGTTGAGTGTGCCAGGCGCGTACACGCACGCGGCAGGACACCTCACGAAGCACTTCGAGCCCCCCACCGCTGCCGCCTCTGCCAAAACCGTGGCAGCACGGCGGCGGGGTGGCCATCCTGGCGGACGGTGTGCGTGCACCAGCGAACATGCTGCACGGCTTCGACACGAGCGGTGGGCCTGCGCGCGTCGGGAAGTGCGCCGACCCCGTGGCGCCCACGGCAGGCAAACAGTGTTAAAAGGATCGCGGGGGGCCCGCGCAGGGTCCGACATTTTGCCACAAGGTGTGCTGTACATTTACGTCGGGCCCGTCCCTCTACAGGAGGAACATTCAAAAGTAGTCAAACATAATATGGGGGTTATTGTTGAGTATGTTTGATCATCTTTTGAGCATTTTTGGTGCATTTTTTATTTTTCATCCAAAATCCCCCTGTAGGGGGGCAGGTCCGCCTTAACTGCACCTATTTTTTCTTGGAAGGGCTGCGGTGGAGGTGGTGGGGGGGGGTGCTGGCATGGTTTCGGGTCGGCGGCCTGTCGAGCGGGGCAGGGCGTGCCCATTCATCAGGGGCCGAGATGGCCCCTCCCCGGACAGGAGAAGGAGTTGTTGTACATGGGGGGAGCATGTCCGTTATGTGACCAGCGACCTCTGGGCTGATGGGAGTAGGGCACCCGCCTTCCCAACACATACTTAGCACCCGAGCTTGGCCCGAGCCGCAGCATATTTAGCAGTCGTCTTTGGATGGGCAGCTACTGGGTGCGAATCCGCAGCCGCCGCCGCCCGCCGCCGCCGCCTCGCCGCCGCCGCCGCCGCCGCCGCTGTCCGCCGCCGCCGCCTCGCCGTCCGCCGCCCGCCGTCCGCCGCGCCGCCGCCGCCGCCCCCGCCGCCGCCGCCGTCGCCCCCGCTGCCGAATCGCCGCCGCCGCCGCAGCCGCCGCCGCCGCAGCCGCTGCCGCCACCGCTGCCGCCGCCGCCACCGCCGCCGCCGCCGCCGCCGCCGCCGCCGCCGCCGCCGCCACCGCCGCCGCGACCGCCGCAGCCGCCGCAGCCGCTGCCCCCGCCGCAGCCGCCGCAGCCGCCGCCGCCGCCAAGTGTACTCTGTATTGTTTTTTTGGCAGGGATGGTGGGAGGAGGCCGCATCGGGTTCGCTGCGCATGCTCCGGATTTGGAGGCAGAGTGTGTTTTGTATTTTTTTTACAAGGGGTGGTGGGGGGGGCCCGCATTGTCGCTGGTTGGCTCCCAGTCGCAATGGGGAGGGGGTGTATATTCATAGGGAACAGTGATAAACCCCTCCCCGAAGGGGAAGAGAGACGGGTGGAAGAGGAAGCTCCCTAAACCACCTTACGCCTCGAAGGGCTGGTAGGATTTTGGAGCGAATGTGCGCGGCGCTATGTATGGCGAGAGCCACATGTTGAAAACCACCCGCTCTCAATGTGTGAACGGTTGCCAGAGTCTAGGAAGCATCATGGGCATACATGGAGAGGAAGTCTCAGGCGGGGCGCCAAGCCCGTCCTTTCGACCAGCCTCGGGTACGATAGGGAGGACACTGTTTTATTAGTAGACGGAAAGGAGGAGGAGGAGGAGGAGGAGGAGGAGGAGGAGGAGGAGGAGGAGGAGGAGCATCCTCCCTCCAGGCGGGCGGCCACAGGGCGATTTGCGGCCTGCTGGCGGCGGCGCCCTCGCGGCCTCCGCGGCGGTAGCGCGCGCTAGCGGACCCGGCAAAGAGAAAAGGGTCCCTTTCCCTCCGTGTCCGCTTACCCCTCCCACTCCTCCTCCTCCTCCTCCTCCTCCTCCTCCTCCTCCTCCTCCTCCTCCTCCTCCTCCTCCTCCTCCTCCTCCTCCGCTTCCCTTCTCTTCCTTCTCCTCTCAAGGAACATTTGGGCCCCAACCTTTTTGGCGAAGCGTCCAAAGCCTCTGTGCCTCCCCGCGGCACTTGAGGGACTCGGCTGACACACCCGTCCTCCCAGACTGGTGTCAGTCTCGGCCTCAAGCAGAGCGGGCAGAGGGGAGGCCCGCGTGCGCGGGCCTGCCGACTCGCAGGGAGCGAGAGGCGAAATCTCTGGAACATCTCGTCCTCCTCCCCCCCCTTTCTCTCTCCCTCCCTCTCTCCCTCCCTCCTCCCGTTTCCTCCTCCTCCTCCTCCTCCTCCTCCTCCTCCTCCTCCTCTCCTCCTCCTCCTCCTCCTCCTCCTCCTCCTCCTCCTCCTCCTCCTCCCGCCCCCTCCCTCCTCCTCCTCCTCCTCCTCCTCCTCCTCCTCCTCCTCTCCTCCTCCTCTCCTCCTCCTCCTCCTCCTCCTCCTCCTCCCCCTCCCCCCCCAATCCCTCCCATCCCTTCCCTCCCCTCGGGGCCCTCTCCTCGCGATGCCCCGAGCCCCTCCCGACGGGGCCTCGTACGACGGCCGGCCCGCGCCGGGCCGATGCCCGCCCCCCGTGCGCGATGCTGCGGGGTCGAGCGGCCGGGCTGCCGGGCGCGCGGGGACTGCGGCGGGCCTCGCCTCGGAGGTGCGGTGTCGCGGCGGCGGACCAGGACTCGGAAGGAGGAGAGGAGGAGGAGGAGGGAGGAGGGAGGAGGAGGAGGAGAGGAGAAGGTACCGATCGGCGAAACATCCGCCTGTTCCTCCTCCTTTCCTCCCCCTTCCTCCTTTCCTCCTCCTCCTTCCTCCTCCTCCTCCTCCTCCTCCTCCCTCTCTTCCTCCTTCCTCCTTCCTCCTCCTTCTCCCTCCTCCATCCTGTTCCTCTCCTCATTCTCCTGCTCCTTATCCTCCACCTCCTGCTCCTTCTCCTCCTCCTCCTCCTCCTCCACCTCCTTCTCCCTTTCATCCTCCACCTCCTCTTTCTTGTCCTCCTCTCCTCCTCGTCGTCCTCCTCCTCCTCCTCCTCCTCCTCCTCCTCCTCTTCCTTCTCCTCTCCTCGTCCTCCTCCTCCTCGTCTCCTCCTCCTCCTCGCTCCTCCTCCTCCTCCTCCTCCTCCTTCTCCTCCTCCTCCCCCCTCCTCTTTTCCTCCGCCTCCCTACTCCCTACTCCTGCTCCTCGCGCCTCCTTCTTCCCCCTCATCCCACCTCATTCCTCATCCCACTTCATTCCTCCTCTCCCTTCCTCCCACATCGTTCCTCCTCATCATTGCTTCTTCTCCTTCCTTCATTCCTTCCTTTCATCCTCACTTCTCTTTTCCTCATTCCTCCTCTTTCCTCCCCCTTCTCCTCCTTCCTCCTCGGTCTTCCTCGTTTCTACCTTGCTGGCAAATATAAAGTGCTAAGCTTGTTGCGTTTGTCCCTCCTCCTCCCTTCTCGCTCCTCCTCTTCCTCCTCTTCCTCCGCCTCCTACTCCTCTTCTAGGTCCTCTAGGTCCTTGGCGCACCACGTCCCGCTGATGCAATACGTGGCAGGCACAAAAAGGGGGTAATACATTACGCACGGCACCGAAGGGGGGGTCTGTCTCTCCGAAGGGGGAGCGGTCGGCCAACTTCCACACCTATTGAAGGGTCGATCCCACCTGTGAGGAGACTCAACGAGTGAGACGCACCCTTATTCCGAGGCCCGTTATTGCACACCTCGGCGAGGAGCACAGCCTTCTTCGTGCCGACCTCCCAACAGACGTCACACCACACTCGGCCTCCGCCACCACTCCAAAGTCGATGGGAGGGGTGAGCCAAACGAGCGGGCCTGCGGAGTCCAGTACATGGAAACGCTGTGATAGCGCCTCTTGACCAATCTCGAATTTCACATATCACACAGGCGGATCTCTTGCCCACCTTGGCGATATCGTGTCCGTTGGGCTCGGGCACGAGTTCTAAAAGATCGGGAGATTTGAGACTCTTGGCTCTGCATTTGTCGGCATCGTTGAAATCCAGCTTGGACAACGCTCCCCCGACTCCAGCAACCAGAACAGCCCGACCCCGAACCTGGAAATCTTGGGCCTTGAGCTCACTCACAAGCTGCGGCGGCACGGGGTGCACCTCAGCACCTAGCTTGGCCAGTCTATCCGCCACAGCTCCAGGCACGTCGACCTCGCGACGGCTCCACCACGTGGCTGGGCAACCAGCGATTCTGTGCACCTCCTCCTCTTCCTCCTCCTCCTCCTCGTGTCCCTCCCTCTTCTCCTCCTCCTCCTCCTCCTCTTCCTCCTCCTCTTCCTCCTCCTCCTCCTCCTCCTCCTCCTCTCCCTCCCTCCCTCCCTCCCTCGTCTCGGAGGAGGAGAAGGTACCCAGATCTCCGAGGATTTTCTGATGGGCCTGTTTTCCACCACCACCACCACCACCACCACCACCACCACCACCACCACCACCACCACCACCACCACCACCATAAGTTGGAGGGGGGGAGGAGGAGGACGACGAGGAGAAGGAGGACGAAGAGGAGGAGGTGTAGGAGGAGGAGGTGGAGGAGGAGGAGAAGGAGGAGGACGCCCTCCCCCTCCAACTTACGGTGGTGGTGGTGGTGGTGGAAAACAGGCCCATCATTTCTGTTGTTGCGAGTCTTGGCTGTTTTTTCCTCTCCAGCTTCGGCCTCCTGGGCCCGTGCCCAAGCCCTGAGACCACCAGGCTGCCCCCAGGGAAGGGGTCGGGATCTCTGGGGCCGCGGGTCGAAACATGCGGATCGGAGGAGGCGAGGGTACCCAGAGATCCGTCGCTCCAGCATTGGAGCGGCGGGCTTTTGACAGTCTTTGGCCTCCGAAGGCCCTCGCCGGGCCTCGGGAGCGCGAAAAAACGCCTCAGGACGACAAACCGGCCCTGGGGCAGTGGTCGAGACCTCCCGGGCCCACGCATCGTAAAATGAACCCCGCGCGACCTCAATTAGGGGAAACCTCTCCTTTTCATGGGCGCAGTGATTGGCATTGCTTGGCGTTGCTTGGCAATGCTTGGCATTGCTTGGCATTGCTGGGCACTGCTCGGCGTTGCTGGGCGCTGCTTCGGAGTGCTTCGGCACTGCTTGGGAAGCCGAGGAGCCCAAGCCACCCGAGGATGCCGAGGAGCCCGAGGAACCCGAGGAACCTCCGGGGAGCGGGCAGCGTGCCCCCCCGAGGCCCCGAGGCGCCCCTCGTCTTCACCGAGCAAGAGCCCCTTCTAGGCAAGCCTCGTCGGGGAAAGTGGAGCGGCCGGAGGTCTGGGTGTACCCAGAGATCCCACGCACTGAGAAAATCACGGCGGAGGTTTTTCGTACTTTTCGGCCTCGAAGGGCCCTCGCTGGGCCCCGGGACCGTCAAACAACGACTCATGGCAAGAAACCGGTCCTGGGGAAAGGGTCGAGATTTCCAGGTACCCCGTATTGAAAAAACACGACATCGGATATCTGGGTATTGATCGGCGACGCCTGCGGCGAATCCCCGCCGCCCTCGGCCTTTTGGAGACGCTCATGTGGCAAAACGTCTGGCCAGAACTTGGCCAAGCTAATGGAGCATGTGCTCCGCCAGCCGCCGTGGGACCCAGCTGGAGGGACAGGTAGCAACACAAGTAGCCTTCGGCCAATCCCGCCGCCGTGCATTGGTTGTAGGACAGAGGCCTCTTGGGGTCCTCTTGGCACGTCTGTGGGCCCGTTTGAGCCCGAACAAGTTAGGCGGATGAGGAGCACTGGGAGCTTCTATGAGAATTCGGGGTGTGGGCCCTTCGAAAGATCCTCAGGCACGGTACCGATACCGCTGCCCCTTCCTTCGTTTTCGTTTTTTGTGGCCTCCTGGGAGGCCCTCGTCGCCACGGCTGGACTCGTCTCGGAGTCCTGTTCAGAACGCACCCCAGGAGAGGTCCGGGGAGTCGCGGAGTGGGGGGATCTTTTGGCCTCCCGAGGACCCGCAGGACTGCGCTGGAGCGTACGTGGTGATCCACTCGGGCGCGATCCTGAGGCAGGGCAGGGACGTGAGCTCCGCACAGACAGGCCAGCTGAGGTACGGCGAGGAGCTCACGGTGACAGACGTCTTCACCGACCGGGGGTGCGGGAAGGTCCGGGGCCTCGTCGACACCGCCGACGGGCTCCGCGGGTGGATCACCCTGTACAGCCAGCGGGACGGGCACCGCTTCGCGCGCAGGCTGGCCACGCGCAGAGGGGGGCAGGGGGAGGGGGGGAGGCTTCTTAGGAGCACCCCTGCTTCTGAGACGGCGCGGGCCTCGTCTGTAGATGCAAGGCCCGCGCCTCCTAAGAAGCAGCTTCCTCCTGAGAAGCCTTCCCCCCCCCTCCCCCTATACCCAGAGATCCGCCGTCGTGTTTTTTTCCATACGGGGTCCCCGGAAGTCTCGACCCATTCCCCAGGACCGGTTTTGCATCCCGAGTCGTTTTTCGACGGTCCTGGGGCCCGGCGAGGGCCTCTCGAGGCCGAACAGCACGAAAAACCTCCGTCGTGATTTTCTCAATGCGTGGGATCTCTGGGTACCCAGACATCCGGCCGCTCCAATTTCCCCGACGAAGCTTGCCTAAGGGGCTCTTGCTCGGTAAAAACGAGGGGCGCCTCGGGCTGGAACGCTTTGTTCAACACGTTGGACCTCTGGGTATACCCCCTCTGCGCGCCGCCCAGCAGGGCGGAGCTCTACTGGCCCGACGCGGCCTCCGACGATGCTCCAGGCTCGCCCGGGGCCGCTGGCGAGTCTGGGACCCCGGGCTCGCCGCCGCGGCCGCCGCGGAGGTCGCCCGACAGTGGCCGGGCCGCGCGGGCCCACGGGGCGCCCGCCGGCGAGGCCGAGCTGCACTCGGAGGTCGGGCCCCGCCACTGCCCGGCGGTGGCGCCGCAGCCGAAGGTCTCATATCACCACCCACCAAACCACCCCAACCCAACCCGAAGGCCTCAACTTGCCCGCCATTTCCAGTTGGGGGGGGGTCGGCCCAGGAACATTGACAAAACACACATGGAACCCGTACCCCCCCCCAACCCGAAGGTCTCATATAGGGGAACAAATAGTGACACAAACATAAAAACTCGGTGGTCCGCGCGGATTTCTCGGATCGGCACAGGGGCCCCCCGGCGGCGCCTCCGGCGCCGCCCCTGGCGCGCTACGCGCGCCAGGGATGGGGTCCAGCGCCGATCCGAGAAATCCGCGCGGACCTCCGAGTTTTTATGTTTATGCAATTTTTTGTTCCCATATCATAGGTGGAAAAAGCACCCATACCACTACCCTTTTGGCCGTTTTCCTCTTTTTCGGCCTCCTGGGAGAACCTCGTCGCCTCCGCTGGAGTCGCCTCGAAATTCCGGTCAGAACGCAGCCTGGGAGAGGCCCGGGGAGTAGCGGTATCGGTAGCTTTTGGTTTCCCCAGGGTCGGGCGTCTTGTCAGGGGCAGTGGTAGGTTCTCGATGTATCCCCAGCCGAAGTGATCCTCGTCCTGGCTTCATATGGGTGGGGGATCGAGTATGGTTGCATGGGAGTGGCCGCTCTGGGCCTGGGATGGGCCCAAGAGTGGCCCCGAAGGTGCACGAGAGGTGCACGTTTCTTGGCCCCCCCGCCGTCTGTCCCCCCCCTTCCTCCTCCTCCTCCTCCTCCTCCTCCTCCTCCTCCTCCTCCTCCTCCTCCTCCTCCTCCTCCTCCTCCTCCTCCTCCTCCTCCTCCTCCTCCTGGCGCAGCGCCGAAGAGGGGCCCCCGAGGCCCAGTGAGGGCCCCCGGAGGCCGAAGCTAGCGAGAAACACTCCCGTGGTGATGTTCTCAGGGCCTGGAGGGGGTCTGGGATCGTCGCCCCCCCGCCGTCTGTCCCCCCCCCCCCCCTTTCTCCTCCTCCTCCTCCTCCTCCTCTTCCTCCTCCTCCTCCTCCTCCTCCGTCTCCTCCTGACGCAACGTCGAAGAGGAGCCCCCGAGGCCCAGTGAGGGCCCCCGGAGGCCGAAGCTAGCGAGAAGCACTCCCGTGGTGATTGATGTTCTCAGGACCTGGAGGGGGCAAAGAGAACTATGCACATGCACCGATCCTGACAACGCCCATCCTTGACCCAGGATCGGTGCATATACCTTCCTGGCCAAGGTAAGAGGGCGTATGCACCGATCCTGGGCTCAGGATGGTCCTGGCCAGAATCGGTGTATGTGCATAGTTATCTTTCCTCTACTGGAGGAGGTCTGGGATCGTCGCCCCCCCCCCCCCCCAACCACCACCACCCCCATGGCGCTGCGCCTCCAAAAATAGCGCCACCCCAACATACTAAGATGTTGTGTGCGTCGACCCCCCCAGGAGTGACGCGCGCACCGAGAAATATTATGATATATGCGTCGTGGCGGGCGCGTTCTGGCCACACCGCTCGGGAAACGACATGCTACAAGATGGGTGTATTATGTGTTCGGGTCGGACGTGCGCCTCCAAGGAGGACATACAGTATCACAGTGGGGGCCCATGCCAAGAAACACCCTGTTTACCTCCAGGGTGCCATGGTTTTTTTTGGGTTTCGATGGTCTTGCGATGGACAACATGATCTTTCCATTGCAGAAATCAAAGGGCCTCCTGTAGTCTCAGGGTTGGGTTTCTTGCCGAAGGTTTCTCGTGGTCGGGCCCCCACTTTTGGTTTATCTCTGTGAGTTCCAAAGAAGGAGCAGCTGATCTGCTCCGCGGCGCCTCCCGGGGGCAAGCCGGGGGCAGCCGTCGCGGACGCGCACGGCATGCAGGAGCGTCGGCTGGCTGACGGCGTCTTCCTGAGGCAGGGTGCGCAGCCGAAGGGCTTCCTGTTCACGTACGAGGTCGTGAGCCCAACGCCGTGGCCCCTTCTCCTCCTCCGCCTACTCCTCCTCCTCCTCCTCCTCCTCCTCCTCCTCCTCCTCCTCTTCCTCCTCCTCCTCCTGCATTCCTTTTCCTTATAAACCATTTCTCCCTGTCGCACCCCGAGGCCAGTTTTTAGGGCGGGCCGGGCGTTTCGCCTGAGATTTTCTCACCAAGTATGACCCTGAAGCTGAACAAATGGCAGCAGTTTCACAGATGGAGGGCGGATGGTTTTCAAAATGTGGCTCTCGCTTTAGCGTCGCACACATTCGTTTGAACAGTTGCAGGAGTTTCACGGATTCAGGGCGGATAGTTTTCAACATGTGGTTCTCGCCTTAGCGCCGCGCACACTCGTTTCAAACATTTGCAAGAGTTTCACGGATTCATGGCGGATGGTTTTCAAAATGTGGTTCTCGCCTTCGTGCCGCGCACAGGTGTTTGAAGAAATTCCAAGAGCTTCGCAACTTCAGGGCGGGTGGTGGTCAAAATTTGGCTCTCGCCTTAGCGCCGCGCACGTTCGTCCTGAACGTTTATAAGAGTTTCACTGATTCAGGGCGAATGGTTTTCAAAATGTGGTTCTCGCTTTCGCACCGCGCACACTCGTTTTAAACATGTGCAAGAGCTTCGCGGATTCATGGCGGATGGTTTTCAACATGTGGCTCTCGCCCTAGCGCCGCGCGCATCTGTTTTCAAAAGTTACAAGAACTTCGCGAATTCAGGGCGGATGGTTTGCAAAAGGTGGCTCTCGCTTCAGCGCCGCTCACATTTGTTTGCTTACTTGCAAGAGTTTTACGGATTCCCATGATCAGCTTACCAGGAATTGTGTTCTGGAGGGACTCAGGATGATGAGGGTGCAACAGTTATGTTGAGTCGTGGTGTTGCAGTCCCAGGAGTGGCGTTCTGGCACGATTCAGGATAGTCAAGACGCAACGGCCAGGTTGTTCCGTGGCGTTGGAATCCCGAGAACAATAATTTGGCATGTTGCAGGGTCTTCAAACGGTTGTCTTCCAACGAGAAGGTTCCCTCAGTGGAAATGAATCGTCGTATGGGGCCTATGGAGAGGGAGATTGGAGGGAGGGTTTATTCCAATATCGTCGATGTCTCTTGGGTTTACACTGGTCCGCCTCCTCCTCCTCCTCCTCCTCCTCCTCCTCCTCCTCCTCCTCTCCTCCTCCTCCTCCTCCTCCTCCTCCTCCCCCTCCTCCTCCTCCTCCTCCTCCTCCTCCTCCTCCTCCTCCTCCTCCTCCTCCTCCTCCTCCTCCTCTTCGCATTCACACCTCAGGTGGTGTTGGGTTCTGGTGGTGGCCGCTTGGAGCCGCCAGCGGTCACAACGCAACACCGCTTTAAAATCAGTTTTTGGAGCAAAAACAAACGCACGAGGTCGTGAACAAGAAGCTCGGGATCCTGCGCTTCACCTGCGACATCAAGGGCTCCTCCAACATGGTCTGGCAGCAGCGGTGGGACGGGCAGGACGGCAGCTCGTCGCAGGAGGTGACCGTCAAGGTGAACCCGGGGCACCAGGCGCTCCTGGGGACGGTCGGGTCCGCGCGCCCTGACCAGGGCAGCAGCTTGAAGCTCGGCTTCCGGTGAGCGGCGGAAGAAAACAGGGTCGACGGCGCCGACATTCGCGCGCAAGTTTTTCCGCGCAAGGGCTTGCGCCAGCGCCCGCGTTTCGAACGCAGCGTGCCGCGATGGCGGCCCGCGTAAGCTGCGGCGTGAGGTCGCTGTGCCATCTCGCGTAAAAGCCAGGTTGTCCTCGCTGGCCTCGTCGTGGAGGTCCTCCTCCTCCTCCTCCTCCTCTTCCTCCTCCTCCTCCTCCACCTCTTCCTCCTCCTCCTCCTCCTCCTCCTCCTCCTCCTCCTCCTCCTCCTCCTCCTCCTCCTCCTCCTCCTCCTGTCGTCGCCCAGGTGGACGTTCGAGAACGTCAGCAGGGCCGATGTGAGGGCCCAGACGGCGGAGCAGGACAAAGAGCGCCGGCGCGTCGCGGACAGGATGGCCAAGGATCGGCAGCGAGCGAGGGGGGGAACACGAGAAGGAGGAGGAGGAGGAGGAGGAGGAGGAGGAGGAGGAGAAGGAGGAGGAGGGAGAGGAGGAGGGGGAGGAGGAGGAGGAGGAGGAGGAGGTGGAGGAGGAGGAGGAGGAGGAGGAGGAGGAGAGAAGGCCTTCTCAGAAGGCTCGGAAGTCCCCCGGCCTTCTCAGAAGTGCTCTAAGCTTTCCCCGAAGATACCAAGATCTTCGCAGCAGGCGCGAGGGCTTCCGAGAGGTCTAGCCGCCTTCCGAGAAGGCCTTCTCCTCCTCACTTCCCCCCCCTCGCTCGCCGCCGAGAGGACGGCGTGGTGGCCTCGCGCGTGACGTCCGCGGAGGACGTGCGGAGGCGGTGCAGGCAGATGGGCTCGAGCTGGGTCGACCCAGAGTTCTTCCCTGACGACCGCGCCCTGTTCAACGATCCGGAGGACAAGAGCCATCCCGCGGTGATTTGGAAGCGCCCGAAGGATTTCGTCGAGCCCGGGCAGAAGCCCGAGCTGTTCTCGGATGGCGTCAGCCCGCTGGACATCAAGCAGGGGGCGCTGGGCGATTGCTGGTTCCTGGCGGCCTTGGCCGGGCTCGCGGAGTTCAAGGAGAGGGTCGAGCGCATCTTCGGCGACCAGAGGTATAATGAGGAGGGTGTATACGAGATCCGCTGCTTCAAGAACGGCCTGCCAGTGACCATAATCGTAGATGATCTCTTCCCATGCAGTCCGCTGACCGGCAAACCCTGCTACTCGCATGCCGATCACGAGCTCTGGGTTCCAGTGCTCGAGAAGGCCTGGGCCAAGCTCCATGGCTCCTACGAGCAGATCGAGGCAGGCCTCCCCTACCGGGCTCTCATGGACATGCTCGGCGCGGCCGGGAAGCACTTCTGCTTCAAGACTGGGGCCGAGGGGATGATCCCTGGCGGTACGTTTTTCCAGACGCTATCCCAGTACGACGACAGAGGGTTCATCATGTGTGCAGGATCTCAGTGGGCCTTGGAAACGGCAAGGCCGTTTGCTTCTCACCGTCTCAGTCATTTGGCTCTTGGTCATCACAGCGGTCAAACAGCAGCTCACCGAAGCGGACAGAGACAAAAAAGGGCGGCGGCATCGGAATTGGAACCAGAACGGGCAAGCACAATGGCGGCGGAACCGGATAACAAAAGCGGCGACGGCATTTAATGTTTCTCGACACTTGTGTGGCCCTTTCCCTCTGCTGCTGCTGCTGCTGCTGCTGCTGCTGCTGCTGCTGCTCCTGCTGCTCCTGCTGCTCCTGCTGCTCCTGCTGCTCCTGCTGCTCCTGCTGCTCCTGCTGCTCGTGCTGCTGCTGCTGCTGCTGCTGCTGCTGCTGCTGCTGCTGCTGCTGCTCATTCTCCTCCTCCTCCTCCTCCTCCTCCTCCTCCTCCTCCTCCTCCTCCTGCTCTTCTCCCCATCCTGGCGCGGTTGCTCCGCCATCCTTTCGTTGTGCCCCTGTACTTTAGCGGTGCCGTGTGCAGCAAGACAGACGTGAGTGCCTGGGGGCGGGAAGGCGGCGACGGGACGGGAGCAACAGCGCGCGGAGCAGCGGAACGTGCCAACCCACGGCCCTGCCGTTGCCGGGGCCCGATGGGCGCAGGAACCCCGGGCGAGGACCACATGACGAAGGCTGGCGGGGAGCGGCCCAAGGCGGGCCTCGTGCCCGGGCACGCCTACTCGCTCCTGGCGGTCAAGCAGGTCGGCAGCACGAGGCTCGTCTGCCTGCGGAACCCAGTCCGAGGCTGGGCGCTCTCCACGTGCCACCGCTCCTCGAGGCGCAGAGCCAGGGGGACCAAAAGAGGCATACGTAAACATTAAACACTCGGAGGTCCGCGCGGATTTCTCGGATCGGCGCTGGACCCCCTCCCTGGCGCGCGGAGCGCGCCAGGGGCGGCGCCAGAGGCGCCGCCGAGGGGCCCCAGCGCCGATCCGAGAAATCCGCGCGGACCTCCGAGTGTTTAATGTTTATGTCACTTTTTGTTCCCCTAAGAGCTCCGACGAGACGAGATTTGGTTGTCCATGCCGGCGTTTTTTCTCGAGGCCTCGGCCTCCAGGGCCCGCCCGTGCCGGGCCCAGGGGCCATCAGGAACGGGTCGGGGGGGGGACCTACACACTGTTTGTTTTTGCTTCTTCCAAAGTTCTTTGATTTTTAGGGGGTTCAAGATCCTCTCATTTCTAATTATTCCATCCTGGGCCTCTTCCTGGCCACCTGGGGGCCAGGAGCAATTAGAGGCGAGTACGATCAGAAATGAGCAGGACTAGAACTGAACGACGTGTACCCCTGGAGGAGGTGGTCGGGGCCTCTGGGGCAAGAACCACGTCCTCGGATGTCTGGGGGCGCACGCCCCTGGAGGAGGTGGTCGGGGCCTCTGGGGCAAGAACCACGTCCTCGGATGTCTGGGGGCGCACGCTGCCAGAGGTCAGCGCTCACGGGGCATCGGTGGGGTTATCGGGAGCCACGTGCAGCCCCCCCCCCCTCCTCCTCCTCCTCCTCCTCCTCCTCCTCCTCCTCCTCCTCCTCCTCCTCCTCCTCCTCCTCCTCCTCCTCCTCCTCCTTCTCCTCCCGCGGCTGGGGTTATCGGGAGCCCCTTTCGCTCGCAGAAGACAAGACGACGTGGACACACGCTTCCGAAGGTTCCGTGAGGCTTTCTTGGACCTGCGCTGGCCCCCCTCCCGGCGCGCGGAGTGCGCCAGGGGCGTCGCCGGAGGCCACGGGGGGCCGGCCCAGATCCAAGAACACCGCGCGGACCGTCGAGAGTCGAAAGTGTACGTTCACGCCGCGTCCTCTTCCTCCACTCCTCCCCTCCTCCTCTCCTCCTCCTCCTCCTCCTCCTCCTCCCCTCCTCCTCCTCCTCCTCCTCCTCCTCCTCCTCCTCCTCCTCCTCCTCCTCCTCCTCCTCCTCCCCTCCTCCTCCCCCTCCTCCTCCTCCTCCCCCTCCTCCTCCCTCCTCCTCCCTCCTCCTCCTCCCTCCCTCCTCCTCCTCCTCCTCCTCCTCCTCCTCCTCCTCCTCCTCCTCCTCCTCCTCCTCCTCCTCCTCCTCCTCCTCCTCCTCCTCCTCCTCCTCCTCCTCCTCCTCCTCCTCCTCCTCCTCCTCCTCCTCCTCCTCCTCCCCTCCCTCCGCTGACCCGCGCTTGGGAGCTATTCGGCCTGCCGAGAGTCGCGCTACAGTCGAGCATCTTGTTAAGAAACCTCCCGAAAAGCTGGGCCAGCGTTTTGTTGGCCAACTTGCCGAAAGTATGGCCCGGCTTCTTGAGCACGTCTGTCCCTCCCGTGTTATTAGCAGGAGTTGTCCCAGGTTCGTTGAAAGAAGCGTCTGGGAAGCTGGCCCAGATTTCTTGAATGGTATTTTCTTGATCAGATGTTTGGTTGTATTCGGCCTACCAGGATTTGCGCTATGGCTGTGGCTGGACTCGGTTTCTGGCGCTGACCTGGGTCAGCGCTTCCCCGAGGCTTTTGAGGCACCGATGTCCCAGGACTCGGCCACGCGCAGAGGGGGGTATGGTCGGACCGAGGTATCAGATCAAGGTCGGTTCGGGAGGGTACCCTAATGTTCTTCGTGTTTGTTGGGTGTTCTTGTGCATCCTGGGGAAGCGTACCCTCGAGTGATCTTCAGTTTGGTCAGCGGAGGGTTTCAAGTTCTCGAAGGATGTTTTTCAGTCTTAGGTCCGGCTGTACGGGGAAGGGAGAAGGCTTCTTAGAAGCACCCCTGCTTCTTAGAAGGCGCGGGCAGTGTCTGTAGATGTAAGGCCGTCGCCTTCCAAGAAGCGGCCTCCTTCTGAGAAGCCTGCCCCCCTCCCCCCATACCCCCACTGTTGTGGGCCCAGGGGCCCCAAATATATCCGTGCCCAGATCCCTTGCAGGCCGAGGCCCCGTCCAGGGTATTGGTTCCTCGAGCGGTGGGGTTGGAGGCGTGCCAGCCTCGGATCCATGGGGCACGTTCGAGTGGGACGGTGATTGGTCGGACAATTCGCCGCTGTGGACACCCCAGCTGAAGAAGCAGTTGGACTACAGTCCAGACCCAGATGATGGTGAGTTCTGGATGTCTTATCAGGATTTCTTGAGCCACTACGATGGCTGCGGGGTTGTTTTCTTTTCCGAGAAATGGGCAGAGTCGCGAACAGCAATTCAAACTTCCGATGACGTCCTGAGTGCCGTTCTGGAGTTCGAAGTCGAGGCAGAGGCGGATGCGTTCTTCACCCTGATGCAGCGTGACACTCGAATTAAGAATGCGCCACCGTACATCGAATTAGCATTTGCTGTCTATGGCCCGCTCGACAGGCACGGACGCCCAGAGAGGGAGCTGCTGCGCAGCCACTGCTGGAGCGCAAGGGAACTTGTGGAGGAGAGACTCGGCGCAAACAAACTGAAGCCAGGGAAATACTTGTTCGCTGTTTTCAATCCGGACAAAGTGGGGCGCCGTGACATCGCAGCCGTCATCCAGCTGGACGAGAACGGCAAGGAACACAGGCACGACGTTAGTGCCACACAGAGGAGACGCGATCCCTAAGCGCGCTTCCATGGCTTCCCGCTTCCCTCTTTTCCTTCCCTCTCGACCCCATGCGTGGGTCGGAGAGGGGAGGGGAGGGGAGGGAGAGAGAGAGAGAGAGAGAGAGAGACAGAGAGCGAGAGCGGGAGGGAGAGAGAGAGAGAGAGAGAAACAGAAAAAGAGAAAGAAAGAAATAGAGAAAGAGAGAGAGAGAGAGAGAGAAAGAGAGGGCGACAGAGTTGCCAGGGAGGGGGGTGGGGGCCCGAGGCATTTTTTGAAGCCGCGGCGGTGTTAGAGGCTCGATGGGGCCCCGCCACCACAGACGACCGACTGGGGCCAGCCACCTCGGGCGCCCTCGGGGCCCGCCAGGGGTCTGACGCGAGAGAGCCCAGCCCTCTGGGCCGCGGTGGCCTCAGGAGGCGGGGGAGGCCCTGCTGCACCCGCAGCGCTGGCAGGATGCCCGCCGCGCATTTGTTGTGGTGCAGGTGCGTGAGGCGCTGGGTTCCCCCCCCCCCGAGGGCTGCCGCTGCCGCCGCCGTCGCCGTCGTCGTCGTCGTCGTCGTCGTCGTCGTCGTCGTCGTCGTCGTCGTCGTCGAGGCCAGTCTCCGTGGGCTTCAGGGCTGTCGCTTCCTTCCGTGGGGGTGGGTTTCCAGTCCCGGATCGTTTCCTGGCGGCCCCGGGGCCCGGGAACTCGGGAGCGGAAAAGAGGGGGGTGATGACTGGGGGGGGGGGGATTTCATGGCGCGGGCCATGATTTTTCCTCAGATTTCATGGCGCCTCTTCTTATTTCATTATGTCCCGGGCCCCCCCGTTGGGCCGCGCACATGCTGCTGGTCATGATTTGCACCCCCCCCTCTTGGACACCCCCCTCTTGGCCGCTCCCGATCCCCCCACCCCTCCTTTTGAGATTGCCTGGATACCACTGGGGCCCTGCAACGGGCTCCTGCGCGATCCTGCCCCCCGCTTTTGCGGCAGAGCCAGCCATTCTGCGAGGACGCTCCTGCTCCGAAGTCGAGGCGGACGTGCCGGCGTGCGGCCCAGCTGGAAGCGGGGCCTTCGCACCGCTGGGCCCCGAGCCTGCCCGCGGCTCCTGCAGTCTCGAGAGCGTTCTGGAACGCTTTCAGAGCGTTCCGGAACGCTCTGAGAAGGCCGCGGCGCCCGAGACATCCTCCAGAGCCGCTGGATCTCAGAGACTCTCGATTTCGCCTCACCCGAGTTCATCCTGGCTTCGTCTGCACCACGAGGGTGGACGCCGCCCATCGTCGTCGTCATCGTCGGCGTCGTCGTCGCCGCCGCCGCCGTTGTCGTCGTCGTCGTCGTCGTCGTCGCCGCCGCCGCCGCCGCCGTCGTAGTCGTCGTAGTCGTCGTCGTCGTCGTCGTCGTCGTCGTCGTCGTCGTCGTCGTCGTCGTCGTCGTCGTCGGCGTCGGCGTCGGCGTCGGCGTCGGCGTCGGCGTCGGCGTCGGCGTCGGCGTCGGCGTCGGCGTCGGCGTCGGCGTCGACGTCGGCGTCGGCGTCGGCGTCGCTGCCGCCCCGCCGTCCGTCGTCGTCGTCGGCGTCGCGTCTGGTCGGCGTGGCGTCGTCGTCGTCGCCGGCCGCCGCCGTCCGTAGTCGTCGTCGTCGTCGTCGTCGTCGTCCGTCGTCGTCGTCGTCCGTCGTCGTCGTCGTCGTCGTTCGTCGTGTCGCGTCGCGTCGGCGTCGGGCCGTCGGCGTCGGCGTCGGTACCCGTCGGCTAGCGGTCGGCGTCGGCGTCGGCGTCGGCCGTTCGGCGTCGGCGTCGGCGTCGCTGCCGCCGCCGCCGTCGTCCGTCGTCGTCGGCCGTCGGTCGTCGCGTCGGCTGTCGGGCGTCGGCGTCGTCGTCGTCGCCGCCGCGCCGCCGCCGTCGTAGTCGTCGTCGTCGCTCCGTTGTTCCGTCGTCGTCGTCTGTCGTCGTCGTTCGTCGGCGTCGGCGTCGGCGTCGGCGTCGGCGTCGGCGTCGGCTTCGGCGTCGGCGTCGTCGGCGTCGGGGTCGGCGTCGGCTTCGGCGTCGGCGTCGGTGTCGGCGTCGGCGGCGGCTGCGTCGTCGGCGTCGGCGTCGGCATCGGCGTCGGCGTCGGTGTCGTCGGCGTCGGCGTCGGCGGCGTTGGCTTCGGCGTCGGCGTCGTCGGCGTCGGCGGCGGCGGCGTCG